GATGATTGTCTACATTTTTTTTTTCATCATGTTTATTTGTAAACCACCATGAATATTTTTTATCTGTAATGTTGTTATTTTTATCTTTTTGATTATGTACATAAAGTGAATGAAAAAAATCGTTTTCTTTTTTTATATTAATATCATTATTATATTGATCTTTGTGTTTAAAATTTTTTATGAAAGAAAGAAAATTTTGTAAAAGGTTTGTATTATTTTCTGTTTCATTGTTCATTATATTATTAGAATAATTGTTTATATGTGTTATTTTGTTTTTGTCTTTATCATCTTTTTGAGATAGTGTTAATAATAGTTTTGAAAAAAATAAATGACTATCTGTTAAATTATTTAATTTATTTAAATTATCTGCACTAAATTTATTAACATGTTCTGTTTCTTCATTAAATGATTTCTTAAATAAATTGAAAAGATAATTTGTATTTTTTGTAATATCATCTTTTAATATATTAGTATGTTTATTAATATTAGAACTATCTTTAACAACATTCTCTTTTAAATCTATTACACCTTTCTTTACATTTCTTATATCTTTTTCTATGACTTTTTCATTTTTAAATAATTTATTTTTAAAAGCACACATCATTTTATGAAATAAATTATTAGAAGTATTCTTATCATCATCATTACAATCATACTTATCATAAGAATTATTATTTTCATTTTTATTATCGTCACTTATTTCGTTTGAAATGTTATTTGCAATATCTTTCATACCAACCTTATAATTACTATTACTTTTATTATTATCATTTTCATCTTTGTTCTTTTCTTTCCTTATCTCATCCTTTTTACTATCACCCTTGGCAGAATGAAAAGCTTCGGGGAAAGACTTTATATAATCTTCATACTGGAAACATAATATGTCTTGTATAAAAATTATAAGAAAAAATAAATGATATTTCAACTTCATTATGATAAAAAAAAAAAAAAAAAAAAAAAAATTAAAATAACAGATAGGATACTTTTTTTTTTTTTTATGTATTATAAAGATGAAATTGGGAAATATGGATATTTTTAAATGTATATATAAATATATATATAAATATATATATATTTATATATATATATTTATATATGTCATTTTTTTTTTTTTTTTTTCTATTAAAAAGAAAAAAAAAAAAAAAAAAGTAAGAAAATAATACAATAATAAAATAATAAAAAGATATTTATTTTTTTATATTTTTTAAACTTTTCATATTTTATTTCTTCTTTTTAGATATCATACATCCGATGTGCTCACAAATAAAATTAACATGCATTACGTGTAAACGTGGTAAAATATAATATAAAATAAAATAATACACATATAATAAAGAAAAATATTATATATACATAAAATTACATGCATATGCAGTTCCTATTTTACAATATACACAAAAAAAAAAAAAAAAAAATGAAAATAATAATTTATAATATCATAAATATATGAAATAATGTATATTATTACCATACTATAATTTTTTTTTTTTTTTTTTTGTTAATTATATTATTTTTACATTTTGTTAAAATATATTAAAAAAAATGTACATATATAAAATATGTTATACATATTATACATATTATACATATTATACATATCATTTGAAGTGCATATTTGTGTGTAAAAAAATATTGTGGCATGGAAATTATTTTTTTAAATAAAATTCTATATATATGTAATATTTATATGTCAAAATATGTATATATTTTAAATGTTATATATTTAATATATCATACATAACAAATTATATGCCATACATAATAATTTATATGACATACATAACAATTTATATGACATACATAACAATTTATATGTCATACATAACAATTTATATGTCATACATAACAATTTATATGTCATACATAACAATTTATATGTCATACATCATAATTTATATGTCATACATCATAATTTATATGTCATACATCATAATTTATATGTGATATGTCTACTATATGCTTTGACAGAACACCATCTCTACATTTTTACAATTATCATAATTTTCCATTGAAAGTTAAAAAAAAAAAAATTAAAGTGTTAAAGAAAAATGGAAATGTTCAACAACAAAAATGAAGGTATAAATATTTTTTAAGAAATATATGAATACATTATGCACAATATTTCTATTTATATAAAATAAAATATATATATATATATATATATATATATATATATACATATAATCATTCATATTATGTGTACATTCATTATATACATTACCTTATATTTTGAAACAATGAAATAACAAATATCATGTAATCCATATTTTATATTAATTTAATATGGACAATGTTTTATTCTCATATGTCAAGAACTTCTTATATTAATAATAAATAATAAAATATATTAACAAGAGAATACAAGTATATATGTATATGTCCATATTAAGCTTTCTTTATATTCAAATTTTGAAAATTAACCTTTTTTAATGAACAAAAAAAAGTTGAACTTAACCATATGCCAATAATATATATTTTTATATGAAATATCAAATATGAACAAACAAACAAAAAAAAAAATTCATATATATATATATATATATATATATGTTCCTATATTTTAAATAATAAAACCTTAAAGAATCTAATTATCAAACAGTATCTTTACTAGTTTCATAATATTCTTATATTATAACAAATTATTTAATAATAAATCCTTATTTATTTCTTGTTTAATGTTGGTTGCTTTTTTAAGAATTTTTTTTTACCTGACTTGTTCATAATTTTTTTTTGAAAAAAAAAAAAAGAAAAAAAAAAAAGTTAATATATAATGTTTTGAAATAATAATATATGGAACAAATATAAAAATATATATATATATATATATAAATATATAAATATATATATATATATATATAATATGTTATATCTTTTCATTTACATTTTATTATAAGTGGATAATTTTTATTTTGGGATGTAGACATTTGTAGGATAATAAATTATTACATTCCATAAAAAGAAATAAAATCAAAATGTTGTAGCTTTTCTTCTTTCTTTTTTTTTTTTTTTTATAAATGTTAAAATGAATATATAATTATATATATATTAAATAATAAGAATTATATAAAAAGATATGTATATAATACAATTAAGGGTATATTATATATATATTATATTTTATTAATTTATTTATTTTATTTTTTTGTATATTACCAATATGTGGATTGCATGTTTGTATAGGTTTCTTTATATATATAATATGAGGTGATAATATTATAATAAAATAAGAACGAATATGTTTAAAGATATATAACATATATAAAAAAATATAAATGGACAAATAAAATTTATATAAGTTATTTGTTATATAAATTGTATTTATTATATAACAATTATATTATTATTAAATAAAATAATGTATATATATATATATATATAATAATAATAATAATATATATAAAAAATTATACACAATATAATATATATATATATAAATATATATATATAAGTATTATATATATTTTAAAAATATAATATTTGCCATATAAATATAAATTTATAAAATCTATATATAATATAACATTTTACGTTTTTTAAAGAACAGAAGAAAATAATAAATATGGATTAGGTTTATTTCTTCATTCAAAAAATATTATAATATATATATAATACATATATTTATATATATATATATATATATATATATATATATATATATAATATATTTATTTATTATTGCCCATTATATAAAATATAATAAGATAAATATGTTTATTAAGTGCATAAAAATGCAAATATATATATATATATATATATTATTTATATTTATATAGATATAAATATTTTTTCTTTATTTTATTTTATTTTATTTTATTTTATTTGATTTTATTAATTTTAAAAATTACTACTCCATAATTAAATTTTTTATGCATGATGTGTCAGATTTTTATATATAATATACATTTAAATAATATATAAAGTTCTAAATATATATATATATATATATATTGTATACATAATATATTTTGTATAGAATGTAAAAAAAGAAGGGAGAATAAAGGGTCCATTCTAATATGCTCTTATTTATTATATAAAAAAAATATCTAAATAATAAAATATAAGCAATGATATATTTTTATCTATGTATTATTTATATATATTTATATTATAATATATATTAATTATGTTATATATATATTATATATATATATATATATATATATATATATATAATTATATTATATATATTATATTTGTATATATTATATTTATATATATATATTATATATATATATTATATTTTACTTATATGCATACAATATATATATATAATAAATACTATATATAAATATAATATTATATAATATTACTTTTTTATATATATATATATATATATATATATATATATATATATATGTTTTATAAAGATATTAGAAAAAAATATATTTATATATAAACAATATGTATGTAATATATATATATATATATAATATATACATATAATATTATATGGATCCCTTAATTTTCTTTTTATTATTTTTTAAAAGTATAAAAAAAAAAAAAAAATAACACAAAAAAAAAAAAAAAAAAAAAAAAAAAAAAAAAAAAAAAAAAAAAAAAAAAAAAAAAAAAAAAAGAAAAAAAAAAAAAATAACAAAAATAAGAAAAATAATATGAAGTGAAAAATCGTAACATTATATTATATATAATAAGTATAAAAAAAAAAAAAAAAAAAAAAAAAAAAATAGAACAATGGATAAAGTCCTCTTTGTTTAACTGTTTATAGAAAAAAACAAAAAAACGAATTTTTTTTTTTTTTTTTTTTTTTCCCCCTTTTTTTTAAGTAATAATAATAATAATAATGAAAGTGAATAATATATAATTCAACATAATATTTAATAAAAAAATAAGTTGTAGTTATTATAAAAAAAACAAAAAAAAAATGAAGAAAGAGGGAAATGTACTTTATAAGAACAAAAATATTTTAAAATGTTTATTGATAAGTAGAAAATAATAATATAGTTAATATATATAATAAATATGTAATTATATATATAAAAATATGTTGTTGAGAATATGTATATGTATATGTATATGTATGTATATATATATATATATATATATATATATGTATATATGTATATGTTTAAATATGTAGTAATTATTATATAGTAGTAAATATATATTCTGTTTTGTGCTTAATTAAATAATACACCTTTTTGTATATTTTTTTTTTATATATGGCATACCATATTATATATATATATATATATTTGTATATATATTTGTATATATATTTGTATTTTCTTTTATACATACAAAATGTATTTATGTAAAAAAAAAAAAAAAAAAGGATCGTTGATATAAGTCCTTTTTATTTAAATGTTATATAGTATACATGACAAGAATAATAACGACAAAAAAAAAAATAAATAAATAAATGAATGAACAATATATGTATTTATTTATATGAGCTGCGTTTATTTACATATTATTTTAACGTAGTTTTATTAATGATAAACATATATGTTTATTTATTGTATGTCTTTTTGTTTTAGTAACAAATATATATAAAATATAAATAAATAAATATATATATATATATATATATATATGTATATATATATAATATATGTGTATGTATAGTCATTCCATAAATATGTTTTTACATTTGTTTATCTATAATGTAATGTGAAAAATATTTATTTTGTATTTAGAAGGTAGTTTTTTTTTTTTTTATTTTTTATTTTTTTTTAAGAATATAAAACATGATGATTAGTATATCTATATATTGAGCATCTGTTTATTCATTGAATGTATATATATATATATATATATATATATATTAAGACCTTTATTTTTTCATACTTGTTTTTTTTTTTTATTTTTCTCTATATTATTTTTTAAATATATATATTATATGTCATGTTAGATATAAAAAAATATGTATGAATTTTAATTTTGTCAGTTGTCATATATTATATAATATATTCTATGTTTCCTTATGATAGTTTAACATAGTAAACATTGATGAAATACGTATTATATATATATATATTACATTTATTTATATTTTTCATCGTTTAAAATTTTTTTTCTTTTTTTTTAAAATATAATTAGCTTTAATTTTTAATAATTTTTTTTCTTTTTAAATATTAGCATAACAGTTTTGAAATGTATATATATTAATATTTATATATATATTTATATATTTATATATTTATTTATTTATATTTGTATGTTGTCTCTTTATATGTATGGTACAAATAAGTGCATATAAAGAAATACACCACATCCAGCTCTTCCCCAGAAAAAAAAATATATATATATATATATATATATATATATATATATATATATATATATTTATATATATATAATAATATAACACATAAAAAATTAACATATCATCATATAGTCAAGTTAGAAAGGTTCCGTTTTTATCATGAGACGGAGAAACGTATACAATTTCGATCAGGGAAAACATGGCTATTTAATGAATCATATATCATGGCTTAATTTTGTGAGCTTTAATTGGATAACACAACTTTTAAGATGTCTTAAAAATGATGATTTTATATTACCTTGTATTGAAGAGACAAGTTCTATAGAACATTATAGCAACAATCTAAATAGGAATGTTCGAAATATTCAATTAAAGAAATATAATAAATATTATAATAAATGTTGTAGTAAATATATTGATGATAATAGAAGTTGTGGATGTTCTTCAAAGAAACATATAAATAAATATAATAAAACCAAAAAGGAAGAATATTTTTTACAAAGTAGTGGTATTACCTATGCAGTTTTGAAAACATTTAAATATTATTTAGGTTTAATTAGTTTCTTTCATATTGTACATACAATATTTTTAATATTTGTTGCAGCTTGTATTGAAAAATATGTCTTGTTAATAAAAGGTGGTTCAAATGTTGTAAATCTACCATTTGGATATAAATATTCAAAAGTCTTATTTGGATTTATAGTCATATCAGTAATATGTATTAGTCAGTTTTTTGATGCCGTCCTTTGTTATTATGATTTTAGATTAAGAATTAATATGGAGGTAACAGTCATGCATTTTTTATACAAAATAACGCTAGGTAATTTCAACAATCAATTAATTAATAGAAATGATTTCTATGATGACCATACCAAAAAGGGGAAGGACCAACATGATATATATGATAAGAATGATATATATGATAAGAATGATATATATGATAAAAAAGATATATATGATAAAAAAGATATATATGATAAGAATGATATATATGATAAGAATGATATATATGATAAAAAAGATATATATGATAAGAATGATATATATAATAAAAAAGATATATATGATAAAAAAGATATATATGATAAAAAAGATATATATGATATATATGATAAAAAAGATATATATGATATATATGATAAAAAAGATATATATGATATATATGATAAAAATGATGGTGAGGAAGAAAAGCTGTTCTTAGAAAATGAAGAAAGCAAAAATTCAACAAACAGTACGACATATATTAAGAATTGTGATAACGAAATGAACCACAT